GGAGAGAGAAAGAGAGAGAGAGAGAGAGCGAGAGAGAGGAGAGCACAGGAGAGAGAGACAGAGGAGAGGAGAGCACAGGAGAGAGAGAGAGAGGAGAGAAGATCACAGGAGAGAGAGACAGAGGAGAGAAGAGTACAGGAGAGAATGGAGAGACAATAAATTATTTATTAACCCTTCTCTCAAGAGAAAGCAGTGGAAAAAATGGGTACATTAAAATTTTTCAATATCTTTTTTATGTCACACTGTCAATGAAACATTGCCTAATTTCTGTAGTTTTATTTTTGTGATGCAAGTTAAAAACAAAATGGTAAGTTGTATACGTTATTCATTTTTGTAATGTAATTTATTTGTAAATGAGCGTGAGTACTTTCTGTACATTTTGTATTTTTTGTTATGCATATTCACATGTGTAAATAAAAGGGAAGTAATTGATATGTACATTGTTCATTTTTTAAATGCAGCTTACAAAACATTCTTCTATACATTTATTTGTATGTCCTGTAAATACATTTTTTTACACATTAAAACAAATTGTTCTATACATTACTGAAAGTACTTTTTACAACTATTTACAACATACTATTTACAACATAGCTTAGGTTTAACATCAGAAAAACAACATCAATGTTGAGCCCAGCCCTGCAAGCCCACGGCAAACTGCCACCAGGCTATCTGGGATCTTCAGGTGAATCTCTTGGTGAATGGCCACCACCTCCTCAACGACTCAGAGGACAATGCGGTGACAGTGGAATAAAGCATGTTAAACACTCTGGAGACCACTCTGTATGATGTACCACTGGCAGACAGAAAAGAAACACCAGGGTCTGGATTGTTGTACCCCATCACTGTTGACATTCTCTTCTCAGAAATCCAGCAGCACTGTCAGGGACTCCCTGCTCAGCCGAAAACTGTTAAAAAACCTGTCCAGCGCTGGCACATTCAGCTTTATCCTGCAGCACAGGGGTCTGGTAGGATTTAGGGAAAGACGGAAAAGAGAAATTGTTTAGAGCTATGACAAAGTAATAGAAGAAATATTGAGGTACTTTAGTTAACTACTTGTAGTAACTACACATTGGGGAAAAGTACTAGTCATATTTAAAACCTTAGCTAAAGGGATAGTTCACCCAAAAATGAAAATTCCAAACCTGGAACAACTTGAGGGTGAGTAAATGATTACAGAATTTTCATTTTTTTGGGTGAACTATCCTCTAATTAAAAGTATTATCTTGCATACTCTAATATACTTAAGGTATCGAGAGTAAAAGTAAAGGTATACAGTATTGTTCTGAAAAAGAATTCGTCAGGATGGTTTTGCATTCATATTACTGCTGCACTACTGAGTATGTTGCATTTTACTTCTGAATATGTTCAAGGTTATTCAATTTAAAGTTGCCTACTTCATATACTGTTGGGTAGTTTAATCTAAAACAATGCTTCATGTTGTAAAAGACCATATTTTTGTAGTGTTGCTGTCCTGTGAGAAAAAAAAAGTTAGTACATTTGTACGAGAAAACTTAACGAATGTACTTCCTTACAGTCCACCACTGATTATTTTGAAAGTGAAAGTAACAACATTTATTGTCAGAATATTAACAAATTGTTGCTAACTATATCAGAGGCTGCATCTGAAGGACTCGGACCGGTCAAACAGAGCACTGTTCAGCGGTACATTGCCCTATTTTTTTAATACTCTTTTTTTATTTTTATTTTTATGCGTAACGGCCTAAAAAAATCCGGGTTGCAACCTGTCTACATATGATCACCATGGTCAAGAGAATAAACTATATAAAATCGCACCTTTGCAAGATATCAGTCAGCATTTGAACTACGTGTGTGTGTGTGTGTGTGTGTGTGTGTGTTTTGTAGTTTTTCATGTGTATCATTACATTATTCAAGTAAACTCCAAGGCAATACCTGCATTTAAAGTTGTAATCCAGCTATTAAGAACGCAGCAAACCAGTGTAATTTACCTGGCCTATGTCTTGGCTAAGCCCTGAAACATTCCCACCGTCTCCTCCATTATGACTTAAAACACAAAAACAAAAATGAACAATTCTGGCTCCACCTATCCTGTCAGGATGGTCCTCTAGTATGCAAGAGCGTAATCGAGAACCCCTGGTGGCGCAATTAGGAAATCCTGCGAAGGCGGAGCGTCCATAATGCACTTTGGAGGCGTGCCCTTCGAAGTGTGTGCACTTAACTTTGGGACACAGCTAAGGTCTCCAGAGAAGGCGGAACGAAGGTTATCAGTCTATTAAGACCGTAGTGACGGTCAGAGTGAGGTCGAAGCAGATCATAAATGCACAGAATTCAAAAAATATCTACTGATTATCCAATGACTATAAAAGATCATATAACCTCAAAACTGGTCATACAGAAGAAGTCCAAAAAATTATTCAGATGTCAAGTATTAATAAGAGTATAGCCAATCAATAAATCTGTTTAGATTACATTCAGTAGCAAGATCAAGAGAAAAATTAAAGGTGGAAGGGGCATCTTAACCTTTACACCATAACACCTTTGTAGCACCATGTAAATACCATGGCTAATTTATAATTGCAACTATTCAGCACCATGGTATTACCACAGGATTTTTCATTGTGTATTAATATGATTACGAAGAGGATGTACAGATTATTATTTTTTTATTATCTTCCATTGACAGCTTTGTTTTGTAGATGACTGTTGTAAACCTCACTTGATGTCATAGGTTTGCTCTCTTACTGTCCAGAGCAGCAAGGACAAAAAACTTTTTGGGCAATCTTAGAATTGAGCTTTTACCCATCTTGTTCAAATTTGTACATCAACATCATAATACCAAGTACACAGAACACAATACAAAACATGATTTCTGAGATCATTTATGCTGTTGTACATTTGGTATTATTGTAGTGTTCATTACCATGATTTTATACAATATACCATGGTAATTTAACTGCTGTAAATGCAGTGGATATACACCATTTACAGTTTGTGTAACAGGTGCTCCCCTCCCCCACACGAAATATGGTACTATTGACCTACTGGCTGTTTTCTGGCACACCTTCATTTACATTGCATTACAACCTATACAACAAATGGTCTCAACATCTTCAAGTGACAGATTGATTTAATAAAAATCTAGGGGAAAAAAAAAATCAATCAAACATGAGGTGACAAAAATCTTTTTAATGAAAACTTTCAAGCATGTCACATGTACACTACAGCATATTACACACTCTTGGGCTTAAGAATTGTGACCGATTAAGCCTGGTTTTGCACCCCTCACTTCATTCTTTTAATAAAATTAAAAAATAAAAACATGAAGGAAGGGAATATAGAAGATAAATGTTTTTGAGCGAAGTTAAAAGTTCAAAAGTAGAAATTCTTTAAACATTTTCTTGAAGTAAAAACAAGTCTGCATGTCTCAATGCCCCTTTCCTTTTTTTTTTTAAGAGAACAGACACATCTGATAAGTGTACACAAACAGTTTTCCCTAAGATAAAAGCAGCTAAAATTACACTGGAAAAAATAAATGATAGAAAAAGGCATAATGAAATATTACAAACATATAAAACTAAACCTTTTTTTAGAGATTACAGAGAATAGATAATTAAGACCAGTCTGTAAGATCAGTGCTTTACTTCCTCTTGGTGCGTCTGACAGGAGCTGCCTCTGTAGGGTCGTCTACTTCCTCTACTTTTTTCACACTCCTTCCTTTTCGGGTGGTGGTTCCTGTGTGAACGCAAAATGTTACCATTACACTCTCAACAAGTGAATAGTACAGCACAGCATGAACACAAACACAAAACTGAAAATCTAATCATTATCACACATTCATGAACATAAAACACAGGTCTAAACTGTATATAGCCAAGGCACTTATCAAGCCCATTAGCTTTCGTGGCACCACATTATTGCTTTAATCATCCCCAAACCATGTGAGCTCACAGCAGCAAAATATGTAGTACATTATTTGAAGGCTATTACCAGCAAGACTGATGTGACAAATTCACTGAACGATATGGCTACTAGAGATGCACCGATTCCGATTTTTTTGTTAGTGTGATCTGCCGATACCGATTTTTGCTGATTCCGATTTTCTTTCTAAGAACTATAATTGACAGCATATACAAACAAAAATCTACTTTTCTTCAACGCAAAGTTTTATTTTCATAAAAAAACACAAGTAAAAAGTCAGTAATAAAATAAGAACAAATAAAAAAAATTGCAAACAACAGCACAAATAAATGCAATAGAATAAAGAGAGCTATGAAGCTAAGTTTTTCAGGTTAAGTAAGTTTTTATTCAGGTAAGAAATACTATAGAAATTAAAGTAATCAAATGTAAAATAACACTGGAGGTGTTATTTTACATTTGATTACTTTAATTTCTGTAGTCTTCATTGTAAAAATTAAATA